AAAAACCCCTCTCATCAGTAGCCAGTCACTAAATCAGGTAGGTGTATTAGCACCGCACCCTGAGTGAGGGGTAGACAAAAGGAAACACCACCCTGTTTTCCTTGTATCAGCCATAAACCTGAGAGAAAACAGACATAAGATATTTCCTTTGACTTCCTTGAAATCACTGAATAATTTCCCACCCCAATGTTTCTTCTTTATTCATGCCAGCAGAAATTTCCATGGAGCCAGGCTATTAACAGTTCTCGTAACTATCCCCCAGCTATTAAGCCAGCCCCATGAGTAATCTATAAGAAACAAACCAACCACCACTTGCATTTCACGTAGGATGTGCCAGAAAAAGATTGAGATCAGACAACTCTTTCAAAGAACAGAAACACATTAAAAGGAAAATGTCTTTACAGCATAGCCTTACTCAATTCCATTTAAAAGAAGGAAATGAGAGCAATATTAACTAATTCATTTTAACTGAGGATAATTACATTTAATCAGTTATGTTAATTCAATTACATAGGAAGGGAGATGCATTCTGATAGTGCTGGCATGCAGGATAGGGCAAGAAATAGCTCCAAGAACCCCGTCCGAAATTAAAGGATTCACATGATGAGAAATGGGAGAAAATGGAATTACCATCCCAGACTTGGTCTGTGGCCCAGTCTAGTATCTGTCTCAGACGACACAAGCACATAAAGCTTCAGAAGGTGAAAACAAACCCCCAGACAAACAAAAACACAGACATGTTGGAGGATAAATCTACAGCCACAAACTACAGTGTAATGGTTAGAAACTGCCTTAAATAAAAAGTTGTCTTACATTCTTTATAATCTTTATTAGTAATAACTACTGGGTATGGATAGTTTGTAAGCCAACTAGTTGCTTGATTTACCCTTGAACTCCTTTCTTAATCACTCCAGTGGCTGAGTTCCACTATCTAATTATACACACAAGGTTCACTGGCTTAAGCTGGATAAAGCAGTGGTAGATATGTTCTATCTTGGCTTTAGTAAGACTTTTGATGCTTTTGCTAGATAGGAATGTATCCAATACCGTAAGGTGGGTGTGAGGCCAGATGAAAATTCATTCCTTAGTAGTGCAATTACCAATATATTATTGCCAAAATAGAAATAGCGAACGAAGCACAAAACATGGTGAAAAGCTCCCAAAAGGTACTACTACTTGTCCAGTCTGATGAAACCAAAGGAAACTCCAGACCGCTTCCCTTCTTATTCTCCAAGAGTACAGCAGTCAGAAGGATGGGTCAGCACCAGTGACAGCCCCTGTCCAGGAAATTCTATGCTGATGAACCCATAAAGACAATGTTTGAATAATATTTCTTACACAATTTATTGACTGAATCAATACAGAAATTTGCATGTTTGCTGTACATGAAGACTTCTACATGCATATATTTACCTCAAGTTTGATTTTGTTCAATAACTT